GGGAGGCTCCAGGTGAGAGGGTGGGCATGGGGGTGGCATGGGGTGGCACAGGGAGGGGGCCATGCGTTCACACACACACACGCGAAGGTCCGGGAATATTAAACTGCATTGCAGATAAATCCCCAACATAAATATCGTGAGCTGCTCTGCCACGGGGGGGCCCAACACGGAGATTTATAGCCCAGCAACTCCCACCGCCCGCGGTGGTCCCCTGTAGCGGCTGCGTACCCTGGCCCCGCACGGCTGTCCTGCCTGCCATGCTCAGGGGTGCCCTGCTACCCTCCCCCCACCCCGAGCCAGCACATCCCTGGGTGCTCAGAGGGGGCTCTGAGTCTTCCTGGGTGCTGGGGTGGGACAGCACATACTGGGTGCTGTGCTACGTCATGGAGCCCTGTTTGCCATGGGACGGGTGGCTCAGTAATGTGGGACCCACTGCCTAGTCCCTGTGGGCACCATGAGCTGGCCCCAGGCACAGCCCTCACTGCCTGGGGCAGCTGAAGCTGCACTCTCCTATGCTGGGATGCCAGGATGCTGGGCATGGCCTGGGCAAGGTGCCTTCTGCTGCAGCAGGCACACAACAACACCTGCTCAGGTAGTGGCACACGTGTGCATCACATGTACACCCGCACACATGGACACGCACTTGTACAGACACACACGCTGTGCCTCCACACACGTACTCACACTCAGGCGTTCACTGGCACCCACACGTACCCTCGTACACTTACAAGCACATTAGTGTGTTGCAGCACAGCTTTCCTGGGGCTCATGCCAAGGCACAGAGTTTCCATGAATCCTACCAGAGAGACACCCCAGGCGTGGGCATCCCAAACAGCCAGGCACCACCAACCCCAGTGGGGTGCAAGGGCACCCAGAGTCAGGCTGTTTCACAGGTGGGCATGGGGAGCCCAATCCTGCTGCTCCATCCTCCCCATGCCTGCACTTACCCAGTGCTGAGACACAGTTGGCACCTTGGTTGGAGCATGATGGATGCACATGGAGGGGGCAGGGGAAGGCCTGGTGTTATTAACAGCCCTGGGTATTGCTCCAACAGGGCTGTAAAAATTAAAGGCGTGTGGATATAAAATAATGGATAAATCTGAGCCGGCCGCAGAGCGCTGCAGCGTCCCGCAGGTGTTGGCATCTCAAAAAGCCAGGGTACGGCAGGTGTGTGATGGGCACCTGCATGTACATACAGGACATCAGGCAGTGCCTGCACCCACTTCCATGTCCTGACTCACCCCCAAAAAGTCCACTGAGTGCCCTGAAAGGATGCACAGGCACTGCCAACCTGTAGAGCTGGCACTGTGAGGGAATTGGCTGCTGCTGCAGCTGGGATGGAAGAAAAAGAGTTTATACCTAAGCAGACAGGGCTGCAGGTGCAGGGCACTTGCTCCAGGAATCCCACAAGTGATGCCCAGCCCATGTACCCCCAACAGGCAGGATCCATGTCATGGGGTCAATATACACAGGGATCACCAGGCAGGTGTGACCCCGGGGTCCTGCCCACCCCACAGCCCAGGGCTCCGATCCAGAGCAGGGCCCCTCAATCACCCACCTCGCCAGCCCCACTCAGCCCTGCCCATCCTGTGGGCCACCCCGCCAGCATCCTCATTTTCCCCAAGATTAGCCGCGGCGCGGGAGCCTCCGCGCATCGCCAGCAGGTGACAAATAAGATTTTTCCACTCTCCCGAGCACCCGGCATGGGTCTGTCATTGAAAATGCAAAGCAGTGCGGTGCCAACCTCCACCACCCGCCCTCACCTCTGTCAGCCTCTCAGTGCTGAGCACCCAGACAGATGAACTCCCCCACTATCACTGCTAGACCCCCTGCTCCACCCGCTGCTGTCCCTCAGCAGTCCTGGGATGCTGGGCATGGTGCCCTCATGCCCAGTGGGGCAGGTTCCCAGGGGGTTTCTTAGAGAGATGCTATTGAGGAGTGTCAGCCTGGGTGGGCAGCATGGCCTCATGGTGTCCTTGGGGTGCACCCAAATGCCCAGCGCTGCGGGTAGGTGAGCAGGGCAGGGGGTGCCTCGGTGTGCCCACCAAGTAGGGCATGTGCACCCCACCAGGGCCTGCCTGCTTCCAGAGACAGTGTCAGGTTCTGGGGCGGGCACGTGGCAGGATCATTCTAGCGGTAGGGGGTGAGGAATTGCCCTTCATAGGAAACGCTTGGCCCAAGACACTAATCGCCCCAAAAACCCTACCCCAAGGGATTCCATCCCCAGCACCCAAGTGGGGAGCATAAGAATGCTCCACCCCACAGCTGGGCACATCCACCCAGCACCCATAACCTGCACCCATGGACTCAACTCTCCCAAACCCCTCAGGCCCCCACAAGCCCCTCCATTTCCCCCAACTTCAACCCTGGCTCCTGTTACCCACCATGCCCCCAGCCCAGAGCCATGCACCCCTCAGCAGTCCCCAGCCTCACTCCCCCCGCCGCCGCCACGTCTCCCCTCCACTATTGTCAGAGGGTTGCCTCTGCCTCTGTCTGCAAAATTAATTCGGAGGTGGAGAGGGAGAATTATGTAAAGTGTGGTTATTCTGGAGCGGCGGGGGAAGCGCGGCTGATGGCAAAGTGCCTTTTTGTGTGTTTAATATGCATTTTTTTCCAGCGGTGCATTTTCAGGCGGGTAATTTGCTGTCTTTTCAGACCCCGATCAGTATCATTTCTCCGGCAATGACAGCTTTTATTTGCACTGAAATGAATGCTGCGAAATTTCCAAGAAATAGCCGGGGCCCTGTTGGCTGCCCACCCCCACAGGGCCAGGGCATGGGCCCCCACTGGTGCCTGCTCCCCGCAGCCCCCTGCCCACGGCCCTGCTTGGCAGTGGTACCCTGGGGTCTTGGGCATACACATGTGCCAGTCTGCACATGTTCATGTCCACAGGTGTGTATGCTTCCCTGACTCCCCCCTTCCTTGAGCCCTGTGTGCACATCAGCACGTCACAGCTGGGGTGGGTACATACACGCACACCAACACATGTGCACATACAGACACCCCTGGTGCGTGTGCACATCCCCCAGCACAGCACCCCCCTCCCATGTGCACATGCACACACACACACATGCATACATGTCCACTCTTGCGCGCTGGAGGGTCCCCCCCACTTTGTCTCCCCCCACACCTTGGCATAGCACCCCTAACCCAGAGCACCCAGCCACCAGAAGGATTTGGAGGTTCCCCATTCATTCCTCTCTGCTCCAGCACAGCCCTTCAGGAAACTGAGGCACAGAGGGGGCAGGAACAGGTGGGTGCTCTCCCCACAGCCTGTTGCCTGCAGGCACTGACAGCAATGGGTGGGAGCCTGGAGGAGATGCAGGGGGTATGTGTGGCTGTTTGTCTGCACATCTGTACGTTGGGAGGAAGGAAGAATGCTGTTTGTGTAGGTGTGTGCCGCGTGGGCGTTGCGTGCCGGAGCTGGTTTGCCGGAGCCGCGGTGCTGGCGTGAGATGCTGCCTTTGCAGCGGCCGTGGTGCTGTGTGTGTGCCCGTGTCAGCCCCCAGTCCGTGTCAGCCCCTGGCCTGTGTGACGGTGTGTCTGCAGCAGTGGCACGGGCATACATGTCCATGCGGTGTGTGTGGGCATCTTGGACAGGGACAGCATCCTTGTGTGTGCCCAAGCACACATGGTAAACAGGGGTGACGAATGGTGTTGTGAGGTGCCCATGCATGTGCAATGCTGCACCCCACAACACTGTGGGGGGCTGCACAGTCCCAGCCTTGGGTCCCACACATGCTCAGTTGTGGGTGCCCAGTTGCAGAGGAGCTGGTGCCTGGCACGGCCAAGGTTAACTGTGCTGGAGCCCATCGGCACAGTGCTGGGAAGCTTTAATTTAATGAAGTGTGAGGCTTTTTATGGGCTTTTAATTACGTGGTGATAATTAACATTATAGGCCGCTGGGTCCCGCTGGTGCCCGGCTGCCCTGTGCCAGCTCCTGCCTGTTTGTAAATAAATCCCGCAGGCCGTGTGGTGCCCACCTCAGGGCACCCACCTCCCACGGCAGGGAGCAATCCAGCTCCAGTCCCCTGCCCACCCACTGGAGCACAATCCACTCCAAAATGTGGGGAGTAAGGGTCCCCACCATTTTTTCCCCACCAGCAGCACCCACCCAGCTGGGTTTTTCCAGCCCTTTGCCTGAACAGAGCTGGCAGGCGGCAGTGCCGGGCTTGGTGAGAGCAGGCACAGGCAGCAGTGCCATGCTTGTCACCCCTGCTGTAGGCCAGCCTGGCTGGGAACAGTCCCCCCACCCCCGTGTCCTGGGGCTAATAGGAAGTGATCAATCAGGCAGCTCTGGGCACGCTGCCCACCCGCCAGGCACCCGAGGGATTTATCTCCAGCGCCCAGGCAATTTCCTGCCCTCCTCTAATCAATAAGGGGGGGCAGGGGGCAAGGCCAGCTTCCCCCCTGCAGGTCATGGGAGATTACAATGCCCCGTGAAACAGGGCCCAGAGCAAAGCCAGGAGACCCCCACCAAGGGGGGTCTTGTGCAAGGAAGGATCCCCACCATAATCACTTCCCCCCTTCCTGCCAGGACCAGGAGCTCAGCACCCATGGGGGTGGGGGGGATTACAGATTAAAGCATGTGGGTGCCCCCCACTCAACAGCACTGGGGGTGCTGAGCAAGACCAGGGGCACCATACCCTGCAGCCATTAGGGCCAGCACCCCCCAGCCACCCACCCAGCCTCACACAGGGAACCCAGGCCTCTGGGCTCCCCTCCCCCACCCTTTCCCATTTAATTTTTCCTAATGAAAGGCAGAAGGATGGCGGGGAGCCGGGGCACCAAGGTCGAGGCTGCCTTTAATCAATCCCCGCTGCTGGCTGGGTGCCCGGAGGAGCTGGCGGAGAAGAGGATGGGGGCTGCGGCAGGGGGGAAGCGCGAGGGGGGTTGCAGGGTGCAACCAAGGGCCTCCCAGCAGCCAACTGGGGCACCCAGTGCTTGGCACCTCCTGGAACCCCACTAACCCCCACCACCAGCCCACAGAAAAGGCACCGTGAATGCACCGTGCTGCCCGGCCAGCACCAGGGTTGTGTCTGGATCCTGCCAGGGCAGCTTTAATCCTCTGCAGGAGACAACCCCAAAAAAGCAAACCCTCTTCCCTACCTATCTCCCACAGTGGGGTACCAACCCCTCTTTGCCCACCAGGGTGGGGACACCAGGGCTGGGGGCATCCCCAGGCTTAGGTTGCAAAAGGCACTGGGCAATGGAGGGTGCAGGGAGCAGGGTGACCTAGAGCTGGGTGCTGGTGACGGCACTCACCCCGTGCACCAGCACGGTGGGGCCCAGTCCGCGGGTGAGCAGCTCCAGCTGGTGCAGGTAGAGCGGGTAGAGGCTGGTGTCGGCCGGCGGCCGTGGCAAGTAAAGGAAGCGCACGGCCGGCGCGGGGCTCTGCTCCAGGACCAGTTTGTTGGCTGCACACACGTACTCATCGGACACTTGGGTGGTGTTGGTCGGGAAGTTCACAACCCCTTCCTCTTCTTCCTCCTCCTCCTCTGCTGGTCCCCCCGGGGGTCCCCGGTAGGTTTGCCAGTGCAGGCGGGTGATGGCATCCCAGGGCACCAGCTGGATCTGGGCCTGGATGCGCAAGTCCTTGAGGAGCTGGCGCAGCTTCTCCTCCTGGGCATGGGGCATAGTACCCGCCTCCACACAGAGGAAGAGGCGCAGGCGGGCGCGGCGCCAGGCCCGCGCCATGTTGAGGACACAGGCCATCTGCAGCAGGAACAGGCTGCAGGTGTCGGCGTAGCGGGCGCTGTCGGGCCGCAGCAGGTTGACTGGCCAGACGTGGATGGTGGGCGGGGGGCTGGCAGCCCGCCGCAGCTCCCAGGCCTTGTCCAGACTCTCCAGCTGCCGGGCCAGCAGGACGTTGCGAAGCATCTTCAGGGCATCAGCCACAATGCCCACGTACTCCCGGGCCGAGAGCAGCTTGGGGGAGGTGGGTGCCCGCAGCGGGGGGAAGCCCAAGGGAACCTCCTCGCGGGTGCTGGTGAAGGCAGGGTGCCGGGCTAGACCATCCTGCGGTGCCTCGTCATCATAGAAGCCCAGCACCAGGGTGTTGGGGCGCATCCCACCTGCCAGAAAGACCATGCCAACCCAGATGAGTAGAGGTGGAGGGCTCCACCAGCCAAGTTTGACTTTGGCATTGCTCATACTGGTGACTCCAGACCCCTCAGCATCACACACAGAGATGCCTCCAAGACCCAACATGGTTTTGGCATAACCCACCCAGTATCTCTCCAAGTTGGCTTTGGCACTGCCCACACTTGGTTCTTCCAAACCCCTTGGCATCTCCCATCCAGGTGTCTTCAAGCCCCTCAACACTGCCAACACTGATGCCTCCAAGGCTCAACTTGGCTACAGCACTGCTCACCCCAGATGCCTCCAAGAGCAAACTTGGCTCTGGCATTTTCTGTCCAGGTTCCTCCAAACCTCTGGGCACTTCTCAGCCCCCAGGGACAGCAGGATGGACCCTCACCCATGTCCAACCCAGGTGTCACTCACCAAGGCCAGAGGTGAAGAGGAGCTGCCGGACACCGTGCCGGACTGAGGGCGCAAGGGTGAGGCTGACGAAGGCCTTGACATTCAGCTTGTCCACCAGGCTGAGCCATGAGTCCTGCTGGGACTGCAGCGGGTCTGAGGGCAGCGTGTCTGGGTGGGGAGCAAAACCAGCATCAGAAGATGGGTACCCCATACTGTTGTCTGTCCCTGATGCAAACCAGTGCCAATCCCTGCACCCACTCCAGCACCCAGGAGACAGAGAGGGGGAAGCAGATGCTTACAGACAGAGATACAAAATCATACATAAATGTGTAAAAAAGTACCCAGACAGCCCCATCCCCACTCCCCAATTTCAGGCCATTAGTCACCACAGCAACAGTGGGGAGCAGGGGAGCAGAGCCTGTGCATCCACTGGGGTGGGATGGGGACAGCCATGACGTGTGCCAGGGAGCAGGGGTGTGCAAACCAGCACACACCAGGGTGCGAACATGTCTGGAGCACCTGGACACAGAGCAGTAGGTATGAGGTGATGATGGACACAGGCACATGCCCATGTCGGGCTGTGCTGAGTGTGTGCCCATGCGTGTGCTGGGTGTGCACAGGCGCTGATGGGGTGGCACGTGCCACGTGTGCACAGCACTGACACGGGCAGGAGCCCCATGTGCACATGCAGGGATGAACATTTGAGCACACGCATGTACAAGCTTGCAGCACACGGGACAGACCCAAGCCACCAACGTCCCTCATACCAAAGCCAAGCTCATGGTGCCACAGCTGTGCCCAAAACGCTGACATTCCCATGCTGTGCCCACTCTGCCAAACTGACAGCTGAGCAGCAGCATCAGTCCACAAACTGAGAGTACACTGACACCACAGCAAGGGACAGAGTCCACCAGCACTGGGGACAGTGCAGATCCTCACCCAAGTCCTGTAGCTCAACATGTCCCAGGATGTAGAGGCCGCTCTTCTTGAGGTCATTGACGAAGTCGATGAGGCGGGCGCTGCCTCGCGGGTTCTGCACCATCAGCAGCATCTGCGGGCGCCAGAACTTGACGTGGTCCTTCCGCACATCCAGCATCAGCAGGTACTTGCGCACCTGGAAGAGGAAGGGAGGGGAAAAGGTGAGGAACACTTCTTTCAACAAACCACCCCATGGGGATGCCAGTCCTGAGGATGTGCTGCCCAGGACAGAGCTGAGCTGCCACAGGGACACCAATTTCCCACCCCATAAGGGGATAGCAGGAGGACAGGGCTCACCTGATGAAAGATGAGGGCCTGGCTGATGTAGCCCCAGGTGCTGCTGGGTGAGAGGTAGTGGAGGGCGAGGAGGAGGAGGAGCAGGAAGCCCAGGCTCGCTGAGGCTGACACAGGGCTGATGAGGAACATCATGACGCAGCAGCCTGCGATGCCCAGCAGGCAAGTATGCCAGGTGAAGTACCGGAAAGTGGGCCTGCAGCAGGGAGGAGGGGACACCTGCTACTTGGTGGTGCCCATGCTGGCTGCAGGGAGGGCACAACAAGGGGAGCTGTGCCAAGGGGACACACCAGCCACCCCAGTGATCCCACGGTGCCATCCTAGGGCATGTTGGGTACCCCATATGTCTGCAGGAGAGGTTATGGAGGGCAGACGGTACCTCCCAGGGCAGCATGCAGCCCCCTGCTGCCAGCCCCTGGCCAACAGGGGCAATGATGGCCATGGGGCTGGTGCTGCCCTGGCACACTCAGGCAGAGTTGGGCAGAGCGTGGCAGTGCTAGCAGCCACAGTGCCGGCTCAGTCTGGTGCAGGGAGGTGGAGGCGGGGAGGCGAGAAGCTGTTATTTTCTCTAATTGCTGTTTTTCCTGAAAGGTAATTAAAATCCTTTTCCGCTGTGCTTGATGGAGACCTTAGTGCAGGGGGGGGGGGAGGTACCAGATGTGGGGTGGGCGAGGGGCCTGTTGCTACCCCACCCCAGTAGCTTACCCCAGGCACTGATCCTGCCCCATCCGTGCCTGGCTAAGGGAGTAGCTGGGCAGGGTGGATGGGGGCCAAGCCCCATCCTGGCACAGACACCAGCTCTCCCTTGGGAGTGGAGTGCTCTGGGGGACCCTGGGGCAGTGCCACCTGGCCCTGCTAGGACACCACCTCTGTGCTCCTGGGGGACTCCCCCTAATGTGCAGTCACAGCATCCTGCACTGAGGGCAGTGGGCATCACCCAAGGGGGAGATCAGGCTCCCCCTGGTTGCTCTGCCAGGACCTCACATCCCAGATGTGAGCAGCCCTGCCAACCCAGCCCCATACCAGAATACCCCACACCCTGTGCCGCAGGCTGGGGCTGCCTGCCACACGTATTCCTCTTTCCTGGAAGATCTTTTCTCCTCCCCCCACCCAGGATCCCCCTTCCTCCCTCCCCCTTCTCCTTAGTTTAATTAGCACTAATGGAAAGTGGTCTCCATCACCGCTTGGCAAACTGCCCGGGGGATGCCGGCCGGGCACAGGCTATAAATTACCTCTGGAAAGCCTAAGGGGAGGGGGCGGGTGGTACCCAGTGGTGCTGGATTTATCTGTACCCACTCAGCAAAGCGGTGCCAGGGCATGAGAACTGTGCCAAGCCAGTGCCGTGCTGGGACCTGTCTCCTTCTCCGTCCCCAGGGATAGGTGTGCCTCTGCCCCCCCTAATGTCCAGAAGAGGGGTGCTAAGCATCTCTGCCCACCATCTCATCATAATGCCCAGGCACAGGGAGGCAAGGGAAACAAAGACAGAAGGATGGAGGGATGGATGCCTCCAAGCATCTCAGCACAGCCCCTCTCCCTTGTGCCCATGGGTACCTGAAGTTGGGGGCTGATGCCCATTCCAGTGCCAGGCAGGCCAGGTTAACAGTGGCGTAAACCAGGAGGAAGAAGGTGGTCACAACCCCTGCAATGGTGTTGAGCTTCCCAGAGAAGAGCACCAGCTGCAGAGATCACAGGGTGATGTACACCTGAGCCATCCCTGTTTATTTGGGGCGTACCCAAGGGGTATGATGGGAAAGTGTACAGGCAGGAATCCCTGCCCCTTGTGATTTATCTTTCATATATGGGATATTTCCCACCTCAGGGAGGGAAGGGAATAACCGCAGTGGGACACCTAGGGCAGGGCGCCTGGGGGAGGAATCCCCAGGGGCAGCGGGACAGGCCAGGCTCCACAACACCCAGCCGAGGTGCCAACCCCCCATCACCCAGCGAGGACAGCAAAGGAGTGTTGCCAACAAACTCACCTGCACCACCAGCCAGGAGAGGATCACCGCCATCACTGGGTTCCCACTGGCAGATGTCTTCTTGGCCAGAGCCAGCGCCCGGCCTGCAGGCAGAGTGGGAGCTTGGGCTGGGGCACCCCAGTGGGCATCAACAGGCTCAGCCACCAGCCACAAGTCCCATCCCCACCCTGGGTGCTGGGGCAAGTTGCAGGGCACACACAGGTGACCCAAATGGACACATTCCAACTCACAAAGCAACACCCCCATACCAAAAAGGGAGTTCCCTGACACCAGGGCTGGTCCCCAGCAGGGAAGACCTGCTGGGTGGGTTCCAAGAAGTGCCAGCACACTCTGGGCACTCACCAAAGAGATCATCCCGGGCCAGGGCGTACAGGATGCGGGATGCCCCGATGAGGTTGCTCATAGCTGCAGAGAGGGTGGCAGCGTAGATGCCCACGGTGACCAGAGGAGGGAAGATACTGATGTCATGCAAGAAGCCATAGTCTTTCTGCAGGAGGACCCTGGAGAGGGACATGGACACACTGGCACTGCCTTGGCTCAGGCCAGGATGACCTGGCACCAGGCACAGCCTGGTACTGATGGCCCTGGCTAGGGGACAGGTGGCCTTACCTGTTGCAGGTGGCACACATGAGGAAAGCCAGCAGGTTGTAGACGAGGTAGGTGAAGAGCACAGCGGAGATGGTGCCCCGTGGGATGGAGTAGCTTGGGCGCTTCAGGTCCCCTGTGGACAGGAGCAGGCAGCATTAGTGCCCATAGGCAGCCCCAATCTCCTCCAGCCTCAGCTCCCATTCCTGGTGCCACCCAGCCCAGCACCTCCTGTCCATACCTGACATGTTGGAGCCTGCCATGATGCCGGTGCAGCCGTTGAACATCACCGCGAAGACGGAGCTGAAGCTCATCTGCTGCCCGGTGGTGTAGTCCACCGCATAGTCACCTGCAGGACACACAGGCAGGGGCTGTGACAGGCTGTCCAGGGTGGCACTGCTCCACCATATGCCCTCTCCTCAATGTCCCCATACAAAAAACACAGGAGAAACAACCCCACGACACCTGCTTTGTGCCCACAAGCTGCCCCCACCCTCTAGCAAGCCGCTGCTGATGGGGCAGTGCCAGTGCCATGGTGGGTAAGGCAGGCAGGTGCGGGGAGCCTCTCCTCACCTCCCAGGTTTTTTTGCAGGGTGTCGAAGGAGAAGCCAGTGAAGGAGCCGTTCTCGATCTCTGAGCCATTGAGGTGGGGCAGGCGGATGGGCACCCTGATGGGCCGTTTGGCAAAGAAGCTGACAAGGACGGTGCCCAGGACACCCGCGACGATGAGGAAGATGAGGAAGGTGGCCTTGGCGTAGATGGAGGCGCCCACGAGGCACACGAGGAGGCAGAGCGCCAGCAGCACAGTGCCATAGAGCAGCTCGTACCAGTAGCTCTGGGGCAGGACGTGGACACCTGTGCCCTCTTTTTGCCCTATAGGGAGAGACAAGTCAGGATCAGTGAGACTCAGAGGGGGCATCACTGGGAGTCAAGAGCTACCAGCATTGTGCCAGGCACGATGGGCAACAACTCATTATCCAGAGGGCTGGGTGAGCCATGCTGGCTATGCTGGGCACAGTGCTTGTCATGCATGGTAAGGGACACCTGCTGTCCCCTGCCATCATACATGGGGTTACTCACCAGGTGGGATCCCAAAGCTGTCTACGACTGCCTCCACCAGCCCCAGCACGTAGAGGGCACTGCCACACACATTGGCCAGAAAAAACATGATTCCAATGCTGCCCCCGAACTCCGGGCCCAGGGCACGGCTGATCATATCTTGCATGAGTCAAGGGAAGATGTCAGCAGTCCAAACAACCATCAGGTGCCCTCACCCCTCTCTCATGGGCCAACAGGGTCCCAGCCTCAGCGTGGCACCCCGAGGTCACTGGGTAGTCACCCACCTTTGGCCCATATGCTCTGCCCCAGCAGCACCCACAGTAAAGGATACAGTAGGCTCCTCCAGCATCCAGCGCCCCGTTGGTGGCGATGGCACACACAGACAGCACCGTCATGCCGATGATGAAATAGGCCACTGCGAACATGGCCAGGGCCTGGTACAACCCGGCATGACCCACCACAAACCCTGTCGAGGACAGAGGAGAGGTCAACGTGCCCCTTAGCTGGGCATGGGTCACCCCCAGGACAGAGCCCCTGAGCACAGCCACCACAAAGAGCTCACCCCATTGAGGCACGAGGCTGCTCCCATCCCCACGCCCACAGCTCCCCTGAGGATGTGCCAGCCTCTTCCTTGCCAGTGTGGGGATGTTCCCACCTCCCACCCACAGCAGCACTCACCAGTGTCCCCACCTCAGGGCATCTTCATCCTCCTGCCATGCCAGGCCCAGGCATGTCCAGAAACCCAACAAACAGGGCATGGGCTCTGCTGCCCACCCCAGAGATGCTAGGAACCCTGTGCCTGGATGCCACCCTTGTCTCGCAGTGAAGGGAGTGAGGCGCTCCCCACAGGGTTCCTGTTGCTGCCCTGCTTACCTACAGCTGAGCAGGAAGCAGAAGCAGTCCTGGGTGTCCCTGCCAGCCAGGGCACCACTCCCCTGTGGGCGGGAGTGTGTACTCTGTGGTGAGAGGGAACCCAGAGCCCCCCCGGCCCTGCCTGGGCTGATGGGAGCGATCCCAGCTGACAGCGCTGTGGGCAGGAAGGGGACACCCGCGGCTGTGGGCGATGCCCTATCTCAGCCACAAGCCAGGCCACAGACGTGCCTGTGGGGAGGCAAGGGGGGGTTGACTGGGGCACTGGCAGCACAAGGAGCCCTCGGGGCACTAGGCTGGGTTTTGGGACACCCACTGTGGTCCCCAAAGGGCTGGAGGGTGCTCGAGTGCCAAAAACAAGGGCAAGCAGGGGGGTTGGGGGAAACAAAGGGCTGCCCCAAAAGCAGTGCAGGGATGAGTAGGAGGGGGTGCTCACCCTGGAGATCTGGGGAGCATCTGAGGCGTAGGGGACATGGGGAACTGACGGGGAGGGCAAAAGGGGAAAGTTCCTCTTCCTGGCAGCTTCCCTCTTGCTCCACCCCATACTTCCCCTCCAAGACACTCCTGGGTGGGGGGACCCTGGTGCCCGCTGTGGGGTTGGGGTGTCAGAGCCTGTGTGAGGACTCCAAGCAGGGGAGTGAAGCAGTAATGGCAGGGGAGAGCCCTGCGCCCAGAGTGGGGGGCCCGCCAGGCAGGGGAAGGGGCTCAAGGCCCCCGCCCCCAGGGCCTTCTGGGCCTCCGGGCATGCAGCCAACTCCTGCCTTGGGCTTTCCGTGGGCGGAAAGTGAAAGAGGAAAAGCTTTTCCCGTTCCTGGACTAGAGCGGACACTGCATGTCTCGGGCCTCTGCCTGCCCCAGGCCATGCAGGGGCACCCCAGGGCCCCCCAAAAGGCTGCCAGTTGCCCCAATCCATGCCCAACCTGTCCTCTGAGTTCTCCCAGGGGTCACAGTAACAGACTCATAACCCAAACTGGGGGCAGACTGGGAACCAGTCTGTACCCTTTACACACACAGAGGTGCAGCCGGGTGTCTGACGGGGGACACCAGGGTCCTGCTCTTGGGACATCAGGTGGGATGTGGGAGAGAACTGGGGTGGTGGAGCCTGGCACTGGGGGATGCCCGGGAAGCAGTGGGGTCCCAGCACTGTGGGACAGGTGGACACGAGGGCACTGGAATCCCATTTAGGGAAGGCACTGAAAAGACACAGGAGTTCTGCCCCAGGGACACTAGGGCTTTGGACCAGGGTCCCTTACAGCGGTTCCTAACTGGGTTCCTGTCCTGCAGGCTCCTGTTCCTGGGTCCCCAGGCCCCAGACTGGTGGGGTCAGGCAGGGACACACAGCACTGGGACCTCAGCCCGGGAGAGAACTGAGTGGGCACAAGGAGGGCACTGGGACCCCAGACTGGGGGCACTAGGGTAACCACTGGAGGGGAGCACTGAGACTCCAGACTGGGGGCACTAGGGTAACCACTGGAGGGGAGCACTGGGACTCCAGACTGGGGGCACTAGGGTAACCACTGGAGGGGAGCACTGGGACTCCAGAGACGGAGGTTCAGAAGAGGGCACTGGGGACTCAGACTGGGGGGCTCGGGACTCCAGATGCGGGGGGTCCGGGGCTGGGGGTAACACATACCAGGCCCGAGATGGGGGTACCAGGCAGGGCTGGTGAGTCTCAAGGGGCCCCGGGACGCGGCGGGGAGCGGAGGGCGCCCCGGGGGCGGCGGCACTCACCGAGGCGCAGAAAGAGGACGACGCTGAACATGGAGAGCAGCGTGGGCACCACAACGCCCAGGAATGTGGGCAGCTTGCGGGGGGCGGTGGCGGCCCGGCCGCGCTCCCGGCCCCGTTCCTCCTCGGCCGAGCCGCCGCACAGGCGGTACGTGAGCAGAGCGCTCCGCTCCGAGTTCTCCATGGCTCGGCGCGGCTCGGGCCCCGCCGGCCCCGAAAAGCTCCCGGTCTCGCTCCCGGTCCCGGTCCCGGCCCCGCCCCGTCGACCCGGGCCCGACCCGCCGGGCCCCGCCCCCGCACATGGCCCCGCCCCGGAGAACAGGCCACGCCCATGGCCCCGCCCCGTCATTGGGCCCCGCCCCACCCGGTCAGACCCCGCCCACAGCCCTGCTCAACAATTGAGGCCCCGCCCCCTCTGCCACATACCGTCCCCCTTTATTGGCCCTGCCCACAGCCCCCGCCTTCATTACGACCCCTTGTCCCAAAATGCTTCCCCATCCTGATCCCCTCCACCTCCCCCCAGCCCCACCCCGACACCCTCACAGTGATCCCCTCACAGCCCCAGCGTCACCCCATACCCCGAATCCCTACAACCCTCGGCCCTCCCGGGGTCTCCGCACTCTGATACCCAGCACTGGCATCCCCCTCGCACTCCCGAACTCGCCCCACTCCTCCTGGCACCCCAAACCCGCCGCCTGCATCGTCACATGCCCCCTTGCTCCCGACCCCCCAGCGGCCGAGACCCTGATACCGACCCGGCACCCCCATCCCGCCCGCCACGCCCCGGGCACCCCCAGGATCCCCGGTACAGCCGCCGCCAGTGGCCGCTCCCCCGCCCCGCGGCGCTGCCGGCCGGGCTCGGCTGCCCGCGCCAATTACCGGACAATCGGGGCCCCGGGGGCGCCGACCCCGCCCCGCCCGCCGCCGGGGCTGGGATCTGCTCGGGCCCCGGGGTCCCACTGCCGCCGCCGCCCGGGGCGGCCGAGCGCCTCGCCAATTAGGTTAATGGGGTTGGCACCGGCACCGGGGCCGGGAGCGGGGGGCACGGTGCGGCCGGAGCCGAACCCCACGTCGACCTCAAGTACCCGCGTGGGCGCCGGCTGCGGTCACCGAGCGGCTGGACCCCCACGTGTCACGGGTGGGGAGGGGGATCCGCGCGGGGACACCGGGGCGGGGCGCGGGACCGCTGTCCCGCTACCATGTGTCCCCCGCCCCGTTCCCGCGTCCCCCGTGGGGCGGAGGCGTAGCGTGCCCCCGCGGCCGAGGTGGGAGCCCGGCGGGGCCAGGGCTTTCATCTGCGGCGGGCCTGTCGCCGTGCCAGCCGCGGGCAGCCCGCGCCTTTGATGTGCCACTGAAGCGGCATTGTCCGCGCCCCGCTGGCACCATCGCAGCCGGGGGGGCCGAGGGGAGCGCGGGCACGGAGGCGCTCCTGCCCCTAATGGGGACGGGCACCCCCTGGACTCGAAATGCGGATGGGGACACGGGCACCTCCTGCACCTAATGGGGACAGAGAGCGGGGGATAGGTACTCCCTAAGGAGAACAGAGATAGGGACACGGACACCCGCTGTCCCGCAGTGGACATGGGGACACGGGCACCCCTTGCCCCTAACAACGACAAAAAAAGGACATGGGCACCCTCCAAATGGACGTGGGACCCAGAAACCCCAGTCCTCTTTACAGGGACAGAGATGGGGGCACAGGCATCCCCTGCATCCCAAATAGGTGATAGACATGCAGCCGCACCCTGTCCCGCCGCAGGAACTGAGACTGAGCCCGTGGGCACAGGAGGATGGCAATGGGAGCAGGACGGTGGCATCTCAAAAGTGTGGGACCAATGACAAGCCGAGCGGCAGGCACGGAGGGAGGCATCCTCTCCAGCTGGGCTGGTGAGTGCAGCCCCCCATTCCTGGGGCCAAGTCTGCCGCCAACCCGGGCCCGCGGCTTAACAAGGGCAGAAGAGCAAGCAAGAAGGACCGCCGGTGCCCCGGCCCCACTTGCCCCCAGCCCCCTCCCCGGGGCACATCCTCCCTCCTGCACCCCAGGCAGGACACGGAAAAATGGGAGAGACACCGGAGGGGGGTTCCCGAGGACAACCTGTGCTCAGCACGGGGAGGGGGGCGGTGCTGGGCACGGGATGGCCCGTTCAGCCAGGGCTGGGCTGGCACAGAGAGACGGGGACACCCCCGCCGAGCCCCCACGCCTCCCTTCCCCCGCCTTGTCCGCCCGGCCGCTCCCGGCCCGCTGCCCGCCTTTGAAACCGCCGGCGGGGCTCCCACGCCCAGCCCGGGCCCCCCGCGCCCGCAGCCGCCGGTGCGTTCCCACCCGCCCGGGGCCCGCAGGAGGGAGGGTGGCGCGGCCGGGGCTTGGCGTGAAAATGATCAAGGGCCGCGGGCAGCGCCGGAGCGCAGCGCCCGTCTGATGCTGCCCGCCCGGAGGCCCCGTCGAACAAAGGCGGCATTGAGGCCCCGGCTGCGTCCCCCCCCCGCGCCCCCCGCCCCGAGCTGGCATCTTGGCGCGACATTAATGAACTCGCCTGTTTGTGCTCCCCCGGCCCCTCTCTCCTCCCACCGCCCGGGGGGCACCGTATATATCCATCCCTCCTCGCCCGCCTCGGGCATTTCGGGGGCTCCCCCCTCTTGCCCCCCTTTGCCCGCCCGGGGATGGAGCGAGGAGGGAAAAGGACGCGGGGAGCTCTCCTCGGGGTCCGCCTCGTCCCCCCCTTGCTTCTGCCGCTCCTGCCGCTGCTGCAGCTGGTGCGGGGGGCCCCCCTGGGCCAGGGGCTGTACCCCATGCCATCCAGCATCCTGCAAGGTCAGTGGGGCACGGGAACGGGGGCATCTTTGTGGGACGGTTTAGCTGTGAACAGGGCTGCTGTAGGAGCTGGGACCTCTGGGTTCACTTTCAGGAGGGGAGGGAGCACAAGCAGAATGGCCAGGTCCCTGGTGAAGACCCCAGATCCTGGGACACAGCTGTGCTGCCTGGACTGGGTGTCAAGTGCTACCAGTGGCACTAGGGGGCACAGGGGATGCAGGGAGTGCTGTGGTTCATGCCCTGCGGCCACCAGTGCTACCTCCTGCCCAGGTACCTTTGCCAGCCCCAGGGAACCTTCTACCAGGGCATGGCCAGCAGGAAGGTGGTCACAGGTAGGGACACAGGGGGGGATGCACATACAGGGCACATACAGGACTGCACACACATGGGGACGTGCAGACATGGGCACATGGACCCTGGCACACACAAGTATTCACTCACAGTGCAGACACAAGTGTGCAGAGGTACCTGCACACCAACACGTGGGCACACCTGCCCAGGCTCACACCCTGCTGTATGCCCATATTTGCACACACGTGTCCACGGGGTCTCCATGTACGATGGATACAGAGAGACCTGGGCAAACACCCAGGTGCCCATGTGCCAACCAGCAGAGAGGTGACACTAGCGACTGTCACCCTAGGCAATGTCAACAGGTGACAGGCCATGCCCAGCCTGACACCCACCACAGAGATATCGGGGCACAGGCACCAGGTGGGCTGGGGGCACTCGGTGGCTGTGGTAGGGGGCAGTGGTGGGGGCTCTGGGGGTCTGAGCACCCTGTATGTATGTCCATCAGCACTGTCGAGCCGTGGGACGCTGGTGCTGGAGGCAGCACTGAGGAGTGCACTGCTGGCACTGGAACGGGCGCTGTCCGAGCAGCAGCGGCAGCGGGGGGCCTGTGGACTCTGTGCCCCCTGCCTCTTCCCACCCTGCGCCAACATCACCAGCCATTGCCCACGTGAGTCATGACCCCATGGCCCCACTGCCCCATCCCCAGGAGGCCCTACCCAAACAGAGCCCAGGATCCCCACCCAAACACAGTCCAGGGGTCCTGTCCTAAGACCATTCCATGCCCAGAAGACCCTGCCAAAACCTTCACCCATGCCTAGAAACCCTTCCCAAATATTTCTTTGAGTCCTTACCAAAGCACACCCTCATCCCCTAGAAATCCTAACAAAATTGGACCCCAAGATCCTACTTAAACTGTACCTTCTCCCCTATAGGCTTACCCTAAAGGCTTTACCAAAACAGTGCCCAGATTCCCAAAATGTATCTCTAACTGCTAGAGACCCTACCAAAACACCATCTGAAGACCCTACCCAAGCAGTTCCCATCTTCTCTATATCGTAGCCTATCACCTGGAGCCCTATCCAAAACATTGCGTGATCCCTTGTCTCCTTTTCAGAGACCCCCTCAAAAAAATACCCCAGCACACAGAAGACCCTACCAAAATGTGCTGACTACACAGCCCATCATGCCCCCTTCCCACCCACACCAGAGCAGAGCTTGGGGTGGCCTGGGCAGAGGTGGGCAGGGAGAACATGGTGATGCCCACAGCCCTGCTGTCCTTGCAGCACTAGCCGTGCCCCCCAGCTGCCAGGCCCTGCTGGATGCCCAGGCACTGCCCGAGCTGCCCCAGCGCAACTGGGCACTGAGCCAGGCCTGTGCCCCCTACCAGCACCTGTGCCCACCTGAGGGGGCCCCACAAGCCTGTGCCCCACTCAGCGCCCGGCTCTGCCAGCACCGCCTCCAGGAGTGCCGTGAGTGGGCACCCGCATCCCCCTGGCTCCTCCCAGAGAGGGAAGACCCTATGATGAAAAGCGGGGCATTCCCAGGGGAGGCTTGGAGGGGATATGGGACATTGGGGGTGACGGGATGCTGGGATGGAGTGGGGGAATGGGAAATGTAGGGGTGCAATAGAGTGATGGGGTATCTTTGGTGGGATGGAAGGTTGGAGGGGATATTGGGATCTGGGTTAGAGGTGGAGATTTGGGGGATGGAGGCATTGGGAACGATGAGCACATTGGGGGGAATGGGACATTGAGAGGTAATGGAGAATCTGGGATGGGAGAAGCGGGCAAGGGAAGGTGGCTGAGAGATTGCAGACGCTGAGTAACTGGGGGTGACAAGCCATCCTGGGGTGGTACAGGGGTGTTTGTTCGGGGTGATGGGGTTCTGGGGGCACTGAAAAGAACTGAGGGGGACTTGAGGACAGCAGGGATGTGGTGGTGACACCGGAGGGGAGTGTCCCCACGTGCTTTGACAGCCTGTCCCTGCAGAGACGGCAGCCGCAGTCCCGAGTCCGGACGCAGCAGCAGAGGTGGCAACGCCAGGTGAGCCGGGGCGGCCCCGCGGTGCCCACGCCATCCCCCCACCACGCCAGCGGGCGCCCCCGGCCCCCGGCTGCCTGCTGGGCCGGGGGGCAGAGGTTAGCGTCGGCAGCTGCCGGGCTGCGGGGTGCCCCCGGCCCTCCGCCCGCTCGCCTCTGTGAGCACGATGAGGCTTGACAGCGCGCCCGACGCGCCTGAGCCCCCGCCACCCCCTCCACCTGCCGCGACCATCCCCGGACGCCCCGTGCCCACCTGGCAGAGGGGGTGTCCCAGCAGTAGGGCTGCAGGGCCCCCTCTCACCCCGGCTTTGTTTGCCAGGGAGCTGTGGGCGCCGCGGGGGTCCACAAGCCAACGCCACGGCCCTCCGAGGACGGATCATGGGCGGCAGCGTGGCCCCGCGGGGCGCCTGGCCTTGGCTGGTGTCGGTGCGGCTGCACGGGGAGCTGATGTGCGGAGGGGTGCTGGTGGGGCGCTCCTGGGTCCTCACCGCGGCACACTGCTTTGCCGGGTATGGCGTGGGGCATGGCAACGCGGGGACGAGGTCCCTGCAGAGGGGTGCACGGGGTGGCACCCTGACATCCCTGTAACTAGCTGCCCCCCACCCTGCCAGGAACCGTAACGAGCTGGCGTGGACCGTGGTGGTGGGCGACCACGAGCTGGGCAAGCCGGGTGTGGGCGAGAGGGCAGTGCCCGTCCGGCGCATCTTGCCTCACCCTAAGGTGGGTGTAGGTGAGCACCCCAAGACCCCCCTGAGCATGCCCCAGGGCCCCCCACTGACACCCCCAAATCTCCTTCCAGTTTAACCCCAAGACGTTTCACGGGGACCTGGCATTGCTGGAGCTGGCGGTGCCACTAGCCTTGTCACCCACCGTCAGCCCTGTGTGCCTTCCCAGTGGCCCCACAGAGCCCAGCCCTGGCACCCCCTGCTACATCGCGGGCTGGGGCTCCCTCTACGAAGGTAGAGCCACTCTGACATCCTGTGGGGTGTCCCCCTCTGTGCCCTCTCGTGTGCCAAGTTCCAGTGCACCGAGCCAGGGCCAGAGATGTCCAGGCACAGTGGACCCTGCAATGGGTGCATTGCCTGGCAGAGGGACCAGTGGCCGATGTGGTGATGGAGGCGCAGGTGCCCCTGCTCAGCCAGGAGACGTGCCGGGGTGCCCTGGGCAAGGACCTGCTCACCAGTGCCATGTTCTGTGCTGGGTACTTGTCTGGAGGCATCGACTCCTGCCAGGTAACACCCGGGCCTGAGGGACTGTCATCACCCCACCTCAAAAATCCCTTGGGGCACACAGGGCTGCTGGGCTCGTGCCACAGCTAGTCAGTGTGACTGGGGTCCCAGCCCAGCCCAATGCATGGGCATCTCCCCCACAGGGCGACTCAGGGGGCCCACTGGCGTGCCAGGACCCCACTTCACACCACTTTGTCCTCTACGGTATCACCTCGTGGGGTGATGGCTGTGGTGAGCGGGGCAAACCAGGAGTCTACACCCGCGTCACTGCCTTCACGGACTGGCTCAGCCTCCAGATGGACTGTGAGTGCCACTGGCTGCACCATAGTGGGGACAGAGACACTCAGGGAGGTTTTAGCACCTCATTGCAGCCCCGGTTCTCTCGTAGCTGCCCCTGGCAGCCGAGAACCGAGCTGCTTTGACCTGCTGGCGCTGGCCCAGCTGCCCCCAGAGCGGCAGAAACCCGAGCGTGCCCGTCTCTGCACCTTCTACGCTGGATCCTGCCGGGCACCTCAGGGCCGGACCACTTGTGCCCACCTGGCTGAGGAGACCTGCCGTGCCAGGATAAGACGATGTGGTGAGCTGGGGGACTGTGGCAGAGCTAGGGTGTGGGGAGGGACCCCTTTTCTGGTAGCGTGAGGCTGGTGTGGTGCCAGGGCCATGTGCACACAGGGTCCTCTGTGCCCACAGAGCTGCACTCCTACGCCCAGACCCTGGTGGATCTCCTGCGCCAGGCTGGGGACTTCATCCGAAACCAGTTTGATTTCTCCTTCCTCACCCGCACTCTGCCCCAGCTCCTGGGCAAGATCTATGGGCATTTCTTCCCTCCCCGTGTCCGCAGGGATATCCCAGGTACTCTCCTGAGCTGGACTACCCCACACTCACTTGGGGTCCCATCAGTCTCCCCAGAGCTGATGGCTGGAGCACCAGCAGCCTGCCCTGTCATCCCCATGGGACTCTCCTGCCCTTTGTCTCTCCTCTCCCCTTCTTGTCCCCTCAGACCTGGCTGTGGCAGGGGGCCATTCAAGGCCCACAGCAGAGGGACCCCAGAAAGTCCCCACCAGGTGAGGCATGGTGGGCATGGGATGATGGGCTAAAGGGGTTGGGGAGGTGGTCAAGATGCCAGTGGACACTGGTATGGCTTTTTGGGGACAGCCCAAACACTGGGGTCTTGTTCCTCCTGCAACCAGGGCACCCTCCCAGGGGTGCCCAGTGGTGTGCACAGGGTGGCACTGCCCTGGGAATGGGTGCTACTGGACACCAGTCTGAGCTCAACTCATGTGCTTGCAGGTGGAGGGCCAGGCGGCTCCCCCCCTTTGCAGACCTCTTTGAGGCAGTGGGGCCCCAACTGCAAGACTGGGTGGAGGCACTGAGGGCCATGGCAGGGGGCAGCCCTCTGGTGCCCACAAGGGACAGGAAACAGCTCCCCGGGGAGATGCAGCTCTTTCTGCAGGTATGTGGGGAGGGACAGGCTGCAGAACCCCCTGCTCCTCTGGTGATTGTGCTGCCAGGGACATCCCATGGGTCCGTTGTCCCCTGTGCAACCATCTCACTTTACCATTACAAAGGGGGCATCTAATCCTCCCCAGCTGAAACCAGTGCTCCCAGTCTAGACAGTGCAGAGCCAGCCATGGGTCTGACCCTGCAGCTCGGCCTCCAACCCAACACAGCCACAAAGCAGTTGCATGTCCCCAGTGCCCCATCTGACACAAGCCCAGCCATGCCCTGCACTCTGTCACCGGGCACCTGGCTGTTCTCAGAGGTGTCCTGTGGGTGCCCCATCACCCCACCTTCCCTTCAGCAGGGTGAAGATGTGGTGGAGGAGATGGTGGGACAGGGACGAGCCTTCCTCACCCAGCTGCAGGCAGAGTTGGACCTTGGCACCGCCCTGGAACCTACGGAGCCACGACAGGCACCCGGAGAGCTGGCAGGGACCTCTTTGCCAAGCCGTGAGCCCTGTGAGCCTGGAGGGTCTGGGGACAGTGGGATGTCCACTCTTTGGCCGTCTCCGTGCCCGGGCAGTGCCCACCGGACGCGTCCCTGCTGGGAGTTTCACACCTCTCTCGGTGGCAGGGTCCGCACTGAGGGAGAAACGTGAGCTGGTGTCCACAGAGCTGCCCAGGGTGGAGGAGGAGGAGGAGGAGGCAGGCACTGGCAGAGGTAAGCTCCCACAAACCCTACGGGATGCCATGTGCCACCATGGGAACAGTGACAACCCCAGCCTCAGCCTTGCACCCTGGTCCCAGGACTGGTAGTCCCATTTCAGTGGGACAGCCCTTGGTTATATCCCCTTCCACAGGGATCCATGCTCCCATAATGTCCCCAGGGCTCCTCCCTGGGCTGGGCCACAGCATGGTGTCCCCGCAATTCACCCTGATGTCCCCCTCCATGTTTCTCCTGCCCATTCCTGGGATTGCAGCCTGCCCCGGCCTCAACGAGTCGGCAGTGCGGGTGGGTGCGGTGCGGGAGCTGTACGCTTGGGTGCTGCGGGTGCCCGAGACCGACCTGGCCATGACCTTCCAGGAGGTGAGTGCCTCACCCATCTGCTCTGATCTCCCCACCCTGGCAACCAGTAAGTGCTCCCCCCAGCCCATCACTGTCCTGCTCTGCCCCTGGCTCCCCCAGGGGACTCACGGTGCTGTCGTCTCCCCGCAGATCCTGGTGGACTTGGGCTCCAAAAACACCAAGGGACTGTACCGGGCACAGGTGCGGGCCACTGTAGGGGGCCGCCCCACGGCCTTCACTGGCCTCGTGGGGCTGGAGAGCGACTCGCTGGCCCGCAGCATGCCCGGCCTCGTCGCTCTGGCACTTGAAGCGCTGAAAACCTAATGGTGCCCCTGGGGCAGCATTCCAGCAAGGGGAGAGGGCACTGGGGCAGGTGTCCCTTATGTATTTCAAACACAGTCCTCTCCCTGTCTTAGGTTCTTCCACCCTCATTGTGCCTCAGTTTCCCTCTTCCCACCAGCACTTCCTGCCTTCCCCCCAGGGCAGTGGTGCCCCAGGTGCTACCTGGAGCATCTCAGCCAGGAATCACAGTCCTCTTCTCTCCTGGGACCCCCACCTTGACAATCCTTACCCCATCCTCACCCCATTTTCCCCAAAGGTATCTAAGCTGTTATTTATTTGTACAGAAAACGTTTATTTTTCAATAAAGAAGGGCTCTATTTTCCAGTAGCCAGTGAGTGTGAAGCAAGTGCTGTGCCATGCGGTGCTGATGAGGTGGGTGACAGTGGAGGAACTTTACAGTGGGGCTATGACATCTCATTGCGTCTCCCCCTTTTCATCCACCCTGAACCCCAAAGTGATGCCCCCATCCTTGATTCCCGCTGGGTCCAGCCTGGAACAGACTCTCTAGATCCTCCAGTTGGACACTCCTGCCCACTGCAGCACCCACGGCACAGCACTGGTGCTCATCCCTGGTAATACCCCATCAGGGACCCACATTAAACCTCACAGTGCAGGGGCCAAGTGTGCCCTGGGCCATCAGTGGGTGGTGGGGTGGTGCCACCCCTGTGCTTGGGCATCAGTGGGTACCAACACCTCCCGCCTGTGGGGACTCTGCCACCCCGAGCAGCATCGCTGGGACTGCTGAGCAGCAGGGAAGTGACCGCTCCTCCCTGAGCCTGTGCTGGGGTGCCCAGGCTCAGGGTGATGGGCTGTCACCCGTGGGGCTGGTGAGTCCAGCTGTGCCTGCCTGTCTCCCCTTCTCTGCACGCCAGGGTGCCGGAAGAGAGGGCTGGGAATGGGTATCCGGTGCCGGTACCCTTCCCCCTCAGCACCTGGCACCATCCATCTCCTCGGCTGTCCGGCAGCCGGACATCCGCTCGGCCAGGCCAGGTGGAGGCAGCCAGGGCCTGGCACGGCGTGAGGGCACCGCGGGCACCGCATGGGGAACCTGCTGCAGCAGCTGGCCCTTCTCGGGGCACTGATGCTGTCGGGTGAGCGGGGTCTGGGGCATGGGGTGCCCTATTGCTGGGGCGTTCCAGGCCCCCTCAATGGGGTTGGTGGGGGATAACGGTGGCAGGGTCCAAACAGGGCACAAGGGTCCCCAGGGCTGCTTTTTGGGTATTACCTGTCAGAGTCCCCTCACTGTGCATCCCTTGTGCTTCTTTCCCAAAGCTGTATCTCAGCCCAGGTCATGTGCTGTCTGTTCCCAGTGTCACTGCATCTGTGTGTCCCTGTGTGTGCCTGTCTGTGTGCACAGTGACACCAAATCTCTGACCACGTGTCCCTGCATACACTGGGTCCATGTCCATGAGTGCATGTGTGCCTTTGTGTGTGCATACACCTGTGTGCACAATGCCACTGGATCTGTACCCAAGTGTCTTGTGTCTGTATGTCCCTTTGTGTGCTGGGTCCGTACCTGTGTGTCCCTGTGTCCATGCCCACGTCCTCGTCCTATGCCCACGTGTGCCCATGAGCTCCCACAAGTCTGTCATTCCTGCATGCCCATGTCCATGGCTGTGCTCCTGTGCAGCAGACATGCAGTGTCCTGGCCTGTTCCTGTCTCCTCCATTCTTATACCACCCTATGGGGTGGCACTGGGCCCAGTAGCCCCACCAGCTCCCTGGTTTGCCTGACCCCACACCCCCAGGCAGGCTCTGCGTGAACCAGGAGGAGAGGCTCATCCACTACCTCTTCGAGGAGAAGGGCTATGACAAAGAGGTGCGTCCTGTTGTCTCCACTGATGAGGTCGTGGACGTCTACCTGGCCCTCACCCTCTCCAACCTAATCTCACTGGTGAGCCCCAGTGGGCAGTGCCGACTGTGGGGGGCCCCACAGCCATGCCTCACCCCCAGGGCTGGCTGGATGCTATCCCTGAGGCTGCTTCCCCTCCACCCTGCTGCTGAGTGTTGGGGGTCCTGAGCTGTGGGGACACCTTGGCATCTCACTGCCCCACACTGTTGTTGCAGAAAGAAGTGGACGAGACGCTCACCACCAACGTATGGCTCGAGCACGTGAGTAGGGACAGGTGTCACGGCATCAGTTGTGCCACCGTGGGGTGGCCCAGCATGGTGAGGGGGTAATCTGGGGTTCCTCCCCTCCAGGGCTGGACCGATTATCGCCTGCAGTGGAACAAGTCAGAATTTGGGGACATTGAGGTGCTCCGCTTGCCGCCAGACATGCTGTGGCTGCCTGAGATAGTCCTGGAGAACAAGTGAGCTGTTCTTCAGTTTCCCCTCCCAAACCCCCTGAACTGTGCCTGGTGCATGCCCAGAGCTCCCCTGGCCCCTTCCCAGCCCCACCAGCACCTTGTCTCTCTCCTGGTGCAGCAATGATGGGCTCTTCGAGGTTGCCTACTACTGCAATGTCCTCATCTACAACACGGGCTACGTCTACTGGCTGCCACCTGCCATCTTCCGCAGCACCTGCCTCATCAACGTCGACTTCTTCCCCTTCGACTGGCAGAACTGCACCCTCAGATTCAGGTGCCGGGCAGCTGGGTCAGGGCAGCAGGGTGGGCATCCCATCCCCCTGTGGTGCCTGCTGCTGCCAGCACCCTCCCCTTGCTCTTGGGGCACAGCAAGGTGGGGGTCTGCGGGTGACCCGGTGGCCTGAGTCCATCATGCTGGAGGTCAGGGTGGGTGGGTGGTGTGTGCTCAGTAGCAGCTGCAGCTCCTCACTGCCTGTGCCCTGTGGTCCAGGTCGCTGGCATACAGTGCTCTGGAGATCAACATGCACTTGAAGACAGACACCGACCCGGACACAGGCAAGGATTACCCGGTGGAGTGGATCATCATCGACCCCGAAGGCTTCACAGGTAAGGCTTGTGCTCTCTGCCATGTCCATGTGGCAGCGGGACACCCTGTGGAGGGCTGGGGGTCACTCTGGAGTTGGGGCACCCTGTCATAGAGACACCCGTGTACCCGGGACTCTTGCACCCTGGCACCCAACCCACCAGGCTTGGAGCTACCCAGACCCTGGATGGGGAGACCAGTGCTGGTGGTGCTGGTGAGGATGGTCATGGCAGATGTCCCCATGCCGTGTGCTGTTCCCTGTGCCCTGGCAGAGAATGGGGAATGGGAAATCATCCACCGCCCAGCCCGCAAGAACGTCTACCCTGACATTCCCCCTGACACCAGTGAGCACCAGGACATCACCTTCTACCTCATCATCAAGCGCAAGCCGCTCTTCTATGTCATCAACATCGTCATACCCTGTATCCTCATTGCCTTCATGGTCATCCTTGTCTTCTACCTGCCTGCCGACAGTGAGTGAGCCCTGTGGCATGGGAGTCACAGCCCCGGGGCACTCCATGTCCCACACCTGCACCAGGCCCTGGGACAGGGGGACACCCCAATGCTCAGCACGGGGATATCCTAGAACTGGGATATCCCCATGTAAGACACCATCATCTCAGCCAGACACCCTAGTAGAGGCACACTTGGGGACAGGATACCCCATGTGGGACCCTGGGGTACCCCCATAATAGAAAACCCTTATATGGGGCATTGTATGGTGGGACACTGCAAGGGCAACCCTGGCACTAGAGACACTGGGAAAGGCACATGGGGCAGGGTTTTCTTTGAGCTCAACTGCTCTCCAGGTGGTGAGAAGATGACCCTCGTGATCTCAGTGCTCCTGGCCCAGTCTGTCTTCCTCCTGCTAATTTCCCAGCGCCTGCCTGCCACTTCCCATGCCGTCCCCCTCATCGGCAAGTGAGTCCTGGGCACCACTGGGTGCAGTGGGGACATTGTGAGGTCCTCGTGGTGCCAGAGGGCAGCTCTGCTGTGCCCAGCCCCTGTGGCGATGCCAGCTCCAAGTCCATGCTCCCTACCAGGTACCTGCTTTTTATCATGCTTCTGGTGACAGCTGTGGTGATCATCTCTGTTGTGGTCCTCAACTTCCACTTCCGCACCCCCAGCACCCATGTCATGTCAGACTGGGTCAAAGAGGTGAGCAGGGCGTGGGGGTACTGGTGGGTACAGGGGTGACCCCGTGCCCCACGGAGCACTCGGGACAGCACAGCCCTGGCATTGCAATAGGGTGTCCCATCTCTGCCACATGTAGTCTGTGGACAGAAAGTGGGGACGGGGTGGCATCTCACTGGGGAGGTGTCCAAGGGACCCAACAACCCCTCTTGTGTCCCAGATCTTCCTGGAGAGCCTGCCCCGGCTGCTGCGCATGACGCAGCCGGACGAGAGCCCGGCGGGCGCCCCGTGCATCCGGCGCTGCAGCTCCGCCGGCTACATCGCCAAGGCAGAGGAGTATTTCAGCGTCAAGTCCCGCAGCGAGCTCATGTTCGAGAAGCAGTCGGAGAGGCACGGGCTGGTCAGCCGCGTCACCCCTGCCCGTGAGCCACAGCCCCTCCGCTGGGACAAGGGGAAGGGTGGCGGAGCGGGGGTCTGCAGTGGTGGCAGCCCTTCGGAGCCCACCTCACCGCCCCCCTTGCCCCCAGGTTTGGCGCCGCAGGGCACGGTCACAGGCGACGAGCAGCTCTACGAGCACATAAAACCTGTCGTTGACAACGCCAACTACATTGTCAAGCACATGCGGGACGAAAACAGCTACAATGAGGTGGGACCATAGGCATTGGGAGGGCAGAGGGGCCTCCCTGTGCCCACTGTGCCCCCCACTGCCTGGCTCTCGGTTCTCTCCCCAGGAGATCGACAACTGGAATCGTGTGGCCCGGACCCTGGACCGCCTCTGCCTCTTCCTCATCACCCCCATGCTGGTGGTGGGCACCCTCTGGATCTTCCTCATGGGCATCTACAACCATCCTCCACCACTGCCCTTCGCCGGAGACCCCTATGACTACCAGGAGGAGAACAAGCGCTTTGTCTAAGGGGTGTGTGGGGGTCCCATGTGCCTCTCCCTCGCCTGCCTTG